TGGGGGGGGGGGGGTATGGTGAGACACGAAAAGCAAATTGATCTCGTTTGTTTTCGGGGGAGAAACTTAACGCTGAAATCCAACGTCTGTGCCCACATACGGAGACAATTCGTCTGGTGCTATCCCTACCGCACACCAGCGGCGCCACTGCTCCAGTCTAGTTTCTAGTGATCTGGGAGGCATAGGGGGGTTGGGGTTCTTGTTTAGAGTTCGGGAGGGAAAAATTTGGCCCTGCACCTATTTAGAGGCACAAGCAAAGATAATAGCGGGGAACGCTAATGGACAATGAAGCACAAACAAATGCTGGAGATACACCGATACAAGGTATACTTATGGAAAGTGTTGGTGGTTGCTTAATTGGCTTCACCTGAAAATCGCTACGACGACCCCGTGGCGTACCTCCTGTCCTAAACTTTTACGAGGAGCAGGGGAACCCATTGCTCTGTGTACAGGTTAAATTTCCCCGGAGAAAAGGGAATGAATCATAAACAAAACAAGGGTTAACCACACGCCAGCAGTTCTCGCCCAGCGTTGAAACAATTCAGGTGTCAAGCCACACCTCCGAGTTGACGGTCTGCAGACCTCTTCGGCGTGAGGCCACCTCCTCCTCCTCCTCCACCACCACCTCCTCCCCCTCCTCCATCTCAAACCCATCCTTGACCCTCACCTGCCCAACAAATCAAGGTCAACAGCACAAACACCACCCCCACTAATAACATCCGGGCGGCCGACGTCAATTTTCGTGCGCGATGAATCGGACACGACACTTGGGGGTGGGGGTATACTCGTACTGATGTAAAGGCGTGGTCGCCCTGGTGGTCTAGTTGGTATCCTCGAAACCTTCTAGAGGTCAGGTCAGGGGTTCGAATCCCGACGTAAGCGAACTGTCGTTGCAAAGTAAGTTATTCTCTCGCTTCCGCTCCTGGCCTAGTGGATAGCGCTAGTTCGTGTGTACACAGAGGGAGGAGAGTGCTGAACTCTTCTCGCATTAAAAATCGAAGGCAAAGCACCGCAGGAGGGGAGGGTGGAGAGGGGCTCTTCTGTGTGACCATGGGTTGGAGTAAACGGCACTAGTGATGTGAGCGCTGATTTGAGGTGAAGACAAAAACAAAAAAAAAAAGGTGTGCGTGTGTACCACTGACCTCACATCTCTGCAACGCCGGGATGGAGCGATAAGCAGGGTTTTCGCCTTCAGGGGGACAAGGAAAAAAAAAAACAGCCGCCGGAAACCCCACCGGTAGCCCGCATGCCACACGCCCTTGACCCTCTCGACAAAACCGTAATAAAAAAAAAAAGTAAAACTCACCGCAACGTCGCCCTGGTCTACCCCGAGCCAAAGGGCAACCGCCAGCTCGAACTCCTCTTCCGGGTTCCCGACCCCGGCAGCGCTGCTCGTGAGCGTCGTGACCGGCGCTTCCAGCAAGGCCCTCACCTCGACGTGGTACTCCACGTCAAGACCGTCTCCGCCGCCCTCGATGTCTAGGTCGCACAACGCCTCCGGAGCACACCCGGCTCTGACGCAGCCCTGCTTTTGTTTGTTTGTTTTGGGAGGGGGGGGGGGGGGG